GTGACCAGGTAGTTGGAGCAGTACTGATGCAAGATCACGGACACGGTTTACAGCATATCGCCTACCTCAGTAAAAAGCTACACGGAGCAGAACTGAACTACCCCATTCACGACAAGGAAGCCTTAGCCATAGTCGTCGCCTTCAAGGCGTGGAGGTGTTACCTAGAGGGAGCCAAGACCACTGTCTATACTGACCACTGCAGTCTCAAATACCTAAAGTCGCAGCCGACGCTCTCACGACGACAATTGCGGTGGGTGGACTTCCTGGAAACTCACTTCCATTACGACATCGTCTACAAGCCCGGGCTACACAACAAGGCAGATGCATTGAGCCGCCCCGGACATGTAGCAGGCATCCAGCTCGACGGGATGAACCCTCTGCTCAAGGGTCTATTCCAACATGGGTACTCCGTGGATGCAGAGATCGCTACAGCACAGACTAAGAAGCTCTTACAGTGGGAGAAAGACTTGGCTGTAAGGAAGGGCACAGGAAAGATTTGGGTACCAAACTATGCCCCGCTCCGACAGATTCCACTGGAAGAGTTTCACGACGTACCATACGCGGGACATTTCGAGAGCAACAAAACGTTAGCAGGGATAGCAAAGTATTACTACTGGCCCGGGATGGCAGCAGACGTGCAGCAGTTCGTCACCTCATGCGACACGTGCAAGCGGATGAAGAGCAGCAAGCAGAAAAAAGTAGGATTACTTCAGCCTCTACCCGTACCGGAGCAGCCATGTCAGGTCGTTAGCCTTGACTTCATCACGGGACTTCCTTCGACCTCACGAGGGCATGACGCTATACTCGTGGTGATCGACAAGTTCTCCAAAATAGGTCACTTCATCCTGACCAACGCCACAGCTACAGCTGAAGCAACTGCTCGACTCTTCTTCGACCGCATCATCACCATCCACGGCATCCCCGCTACACTCATCTCTGACAGAGACCCCAAGTTCACGAGTAAGTTCTGGAAGGAGCTCCTGGGACTCTTGGGGACTAAGATTGCGATGTCTTCAGCATACCACCCCCAGACTGACGGACAGACAGAGTGGTTGAACAGTTACTGCGCACAGCTTGCAAAGACAACATCATCCACTGGGACACACAGTTACCGACCCTAGAGTTCGCTTACAACAACGCGTCACATGCGGCCACAGGGAAAACTCCTTTCTTCTTGTGTTACGGACGGGAACCACTTACACCACAACAGCCAACCACACCGGCACACGTCCAAGCCGCACACGACTTCGTCACCACCATGCAGCAGCTATGGGAGAAGACTCAGCGGCGTCTTCCAGAAGTAGTATGCCGATCGCCAGCGACGAGATCACTCCGTAGCAGTCGGAGATCAGGTGCTTCTTGACACGAGCAACTTGAACCTGTCTCACCTCCCGTCCAAAATCCGGCCTCGCTTCCGTGGTCCTTTTCTCATAGAGGCACAGGTGACACCCGTTACATTCCACTTGCACTTACCAGAGACATGGAAGCTTCACAACGCTTTCCATGTCCAGCTCCTGAAACCCTACAAGGACCCCAACCAACAGTTCCAGAGACGGCAGCTACCGCCACCACCACCTGTACTCGTACTGTCAGAATGTTATTATCTAGCCTGTAGTGGGGTGCTCTGTAGCGGGTACAACCCAACTAGGGTTTGCTATATGTATCCCCATTGCTGCTAGTGAACCCCCTTCTTTGCCTAAACTTTATCTTGCCTAGCTAGGACTTTTCTAGCTGTGGCTCCTCACTATAGCTACTATTCTCACATGGAATCAGAGCGCTTACGCTCCTGGCCTGTGGGCCCACATGCTTCCGCTGCCCTACTCTGTGTCGCGCGCCCCGTGGCGTGCGACCTTCAATTTTTCATCCCGAGCGCGCGGCGGTTTTCTGCCCGCCGTGCGCCCCGAGGCGCGCGGCGGTTTCCTACCGTAGAGGAGCCCGCGCGCGCCCCGCCCGTTCGTCGCGGCGCCCTGGGGAGCTCGCGCGCGCCCCGCCTGTTCGTCGCGGCGCCCTGGGGAGCCCGCGAGCGCCCCGCCCGTCCGTCGCGGCGCCCTGGGGAGCACGCGCGGCCCCCACCCTGCTCGTCGCGGCGCCCTGGGGAGCACGCGCGGCCCCCGCCCGTTCGTCGCGGCACCCTGGGGAGCCAGCGCGCGCCCCGCCCGTCCGTCGCGGCGCCTTGGGGATCCGCGCGCGCGCCCCCCCCCGCCCGTCCGCCGCGGCGCCCTGGGGAGCCGCGCGCGCCACCCCCCTCCCTCCGTCCCGCCCGTCCGTTTTGGCGCCCTGGGGGTCGCGAGCCGTCCCCCCTCGCAGTCCCCCGCGCTCCTGCCCATATCCCACCCGTTTTAGGGTTTGGGGGTGAGGAGTGTGGGGGTGGCGGTTGTGGGGGTGTCGATTGTGTTCGCCGTCCCCTACTCTTCCGCCTCCTTCGTCTCCCACTGCTGCAGCTGTCGCTGAGGGGGGTGGATGTGTGGGAGCCTGGGGTTTAGGGTTTAAGGGGGGTGCCGTGGGAGTGGAGCTAGGGTTTGACCAGGGGGTGTGTGTCGAGGGTGTGGGGCAGTTGGAGGAGGTTGTGTGAAGGAAGCTGTCGTGTCGCCTGCAGCGCCTGTAGTCCGTCGCCCTTGCTTCGGTAGCCAGTGAGCCTGTTGCACCAGTCGCCAGTGGGTCCGTTGCTCCTGCCGCTCGTCTATAGCCGCGGAGCCAGTCACTCCAGTAGTCCGTCGCCCTTGCTTCGGTAGCCACTGAGTCAGCCGCTCCTGTGCCCGTGCCTCTGCAGCTTCAGTCGTTGCCTCCCATCTTCTCTCCCTCCACAGTTCCTCCTCCTCCTCACTTGCCCGCTGTGACTAACTCTAGCTTTGCTTACTATTGTGAACTCCTGCTCTATGCATGCTTGCTCATTGTACTGATTACACCCCACTTTGGCTATGGGGGTGTGTCAGAATGTTATTATCTAGCCTGTAGTGGGGTGCTCTGTAGCGGGTACAACCCAACTAGGGTTTGCTATATGTATCCCCATTGCTGCTAGTGAACCCCCTTCTTTGCCTAAACTTTCTCTTGCCTAGCTAGGACTTTTCTAGCTGTGGCTCCTCACTATAGCTACTATTCTCACACGTACTGGATGAACCAGAGTACGAGATTGAGCGCGTTCTCTCTCATCGGCGCCGCGGCGGCAAGACCCTCGAGTTCCTGATACGCTGGAAGGGATATGACCCCACTGAGGATAGTTGGGTTGCAGAAGCTGATATGGGCAACGCACACCGTACTCTCAAGGACTATCTTGTCAAGCAGGGTGTATCTCACGCCACCCAGCTTTGAGGGGGAGACGTGTGAGAGTACGTCGGCTTATGCCAGCTTAGCTTGCTTGCCAAGACTTTATTACGCTATTTCTAGCATAGGATTATTTTTTGCATGCATGAATTGCTTGATTTCCTAGGCTAGGTGCTTTCCTATACTTTATTATAGTTATAGCACCAAGCTAGGTTGCGTACACCGAATTCTGGGCTTTTCGGTTGCCACCGAATTGCCTTCTACCGAATTCGGGAAGGGTCTGTTCGAGACGCTTCACGACCCTCAGAACCTTCGCGTAGCACCTGGTTACTGGGCCTTGTGTCGAGCCTATATATAGCCTCGTGTTGTACCCAGGTGATTCATTCAATTCAAACTCTCTTTTCTGAGCTCGATCCTAGATCCTCACATTATAGGCGCGCTCACCCGTTACACAGACAAGCCTTTTTATCCCAGTGGTTAGTGGCTGGGATTCTGACAGGCTCCACTGTTCTTTCGCGTCCGGCACCCCCTTCTGGCTCCCTCACAGGTCTTCACCTCCCCTTGTTCGCTACGAACTTGGTGAGCACCGCTCACCTTTATGATTTGTTGGTCACCACCATCACTCCTGGAGGCGAGCGCGTGGTGATCTATAAGGACACAGTGACTGACGACCGCCTCACCACGTTCACTTGGAGTCCTGGGTTTGGCCTGTGTACACTAAGTCTGCTCAGGTGGCCGCGTCAGGTCAGGTAGCTGCGTCGTGCTCGTGTCGGTTACTCACACACCCATCCCTCATCTGGCACCACTGTCTTGGTCACCCCTCCTTGCACCACTCGCGTCTCTTTGTCTCTACCCTCCCGCGGTCCCTGCCCCCCCTCCTGCCGTAGCTTGCGCCGCCGTGCACTCCCTGCGTCGAGGGGCGGCAACGCGTCGCTCCTCACTGCTCCTCGTTCACCCCGACCACTGCTCCTCTTTAGACGCTGCACATGGACGTGTGGGTCCTGGCCCCATCTCTGGGCCACGCTGGGAGCGTTAATTTTCTGCTGGAGCCATTTCCGAAGCTGCGCTTCTTCGGGTGGCACAACAGTCCCGCTTTTTTTATCGCATCCAAAGTCGTTTTTATGTCTTTGACGTGCTTCTCTCCATCTGCACTGAAGACGATTACGTCATCTATGTAACAGGCTGCCGCTGGCACATTCCTCTGAGCCGCACCCATGGTGCGCTGAAACAATGCAGAGGCGTTTTTCATGCCGAAAGGCATGCACATCCATTCGTACAAAACATCAGGGCCGTGAAAGGCGACACAGAGTGTGGTGTTATTGACGTCGCATCATGCTCTACACGAGGAAGGTCAATTGGTCGGCAAAAAAACACGATGGGCCTGCGTTCTTGGCATGGCAGGTTTGGTTTCGTAACAAAAACAGTGCGTCTATATGTTCTTGGCTTGAGGCACGATTGTAGAATCTTAGTCCATGGGCAAATGAACGACACCAATATCAACAACATGAACGGGTCCGACTCTAACGAGCTCCTTGCTGTTTCTTTTCTCGGCCAGGATGGGATGCCTCCGCTTTCTCGGATCCGAAATATCTTTGTAGCACAGATCCCTGCATAATTGGGCATTTGTTTCATAGATAGCTCACGTAGGATACCTCGAAGTATGCTACCTTTGTGGGCATGTTCTGAGGGCCAGAAATCTTGTGAGGTGCACATCTCTCGAGCCACGCCTGCGCTACTCCATGGCGCCATCTGGGCCCACCTGCGCTCGCCGGTCCACAGCGGTTGTCGCGCGCGTTGCGGCGGCGATGCTGATGCTCGCCGCTGCTGCTGCCGCCGATGGTGAAGGGCCCGTCGTGAGCGGGGCTTTAGCGAGGACGGGAGCGGGCGAGCTGGTTGGGGCATGGCGGCGAAATGGTTCGGGTGGGCACAGTGAGGCTTGGAGAGGGTATGGGTTCGACACGAGAGGAGATGGAATGGGCGATCGTGTGGTTGGGGGCTCACTCGAACGCGCTGACATTGACGGAGGTGACGGAGACGGTGCCGGAGGTGACATTGACGGAGGTGACGGAGACGGTGACGGAGATGACATTGACGGAGGTGACGGAGACGGTGACGGAGGTGACGGTGAGAGTGAAAGCGCTGACGGCGACGATGAGGGCGGGTGGTTGTCGGGTCCGCACTCACAGCAGCGTGCGCGTGGCGGCGACGAGAGGGGGACGAGAGGCCGCTCGCCAAGGGGCGCGCGGTGGGAATTGCAGGGGGAGCGGAAGCGGGAGGGCAGGCGGGAAGCGTCGCGGGGAAGGGAGTTGGCGGAGGAGCGAGGAGGTTCAGTGGGCGGAGAGGAGCGAGGAGGTTCAGTGGGCGGAGAGGAGCGAGGAGGTTCAGTGGGCGGAGAGGAGCGAGGAGGTTCAGTGGGCGGAGAGGAGCGAGGAGGTTCAGTGGGCGGAGAGGAGCGAGGAGGTTCAGTGGGCGGAGAGGAGCGAGGAGGTTCAGTGGGCGGAGAGGAGCGAGGAGGTTCAGTGGGCGGAGAGGAGCGAGGAGGTTCAGTGGGCGGAGAGGAGCGAGGAGGTTCAGTGGGCGGAGAGGAGCGAGGAGGTTCAGTGGGCGGAGAGGAGCGAGGAGGTTCAGTGGGCGGAGAGGCGCGCAGGCGAGGGGAGGGCAGACGAGGCACGGGTGGGCGTCGCAGGCTGGCGGATGGTCAAGGCAGTGAGGGGGGCGGTGGCAGTGAGGGGGGCGGTGGCAGTGAGGGGGGCGGTGGCAGGTACGACGACGGTAGCGATGGGCGTGAGCGCATGCACGTGGGCGCGCGTGGCGGCATGGCGGGCCCTGGGGTGTGGGTGGACGGAGTTAAACGGCACACGCGGCGGGCAGGCGACAGATGCTGGAGCAAATGGGAGATGCACATGTATGTCACGGTGAGATGCATGTATGTCACGGTGAGATGCACATGTATGTCACGGTGAGATGCATGTATGTCACGGTGAGATGCATGTATGTCACGGTGAGATGCATGTATGTCACGGTGAGATGCACATGTATGTCACGGTGAGATGCATGTATGTTTCGGTGAGATGCATGTATGCCACGGTGAGATGCATGTATGTCACGATGAGATGCATGTATGTCACGGTGAGATGCATGTATGTCATGGTGAGATGCATGTATGTCATGTTGAGATGCATGCATGTATGTCACGTTGTTCCTTCCTGATTCTTTTGTTCCTCCTCACCTCTTCTCCCCATCTTCCGCTGCTGTCTCTCTCTGCATCGCACATGCCATTGGTCACAAGCCTCACTCGATCACCACTTCTCCCTGCCCGTCTATCTAACTGGCAACCTCTTCTCCCCCCTCCCCTCTCTCTGCGTGCATGGCAGCGCCCCGACCGCCAGCTGCTGCCATCACTGGCGTTGAGGCGGCGCCTGTTTCTCTTGTTTCACCATTCCCTCCTCGCCTCTTCTCCTCGTCTTCCTGTCCCCTCGCGTTCTCTAATCCACCCCGCCCTTCTGCATGGCCTCTCCCCCCAACCCTCTCTCTACGTGCACCGCAGCGCCCCGACCGGCAGCTGCCGCCATCACTGGCGTTGAGGCGGCGCCTGTCGGAGTACCGTCGGATGCACCGCCGCTGCACGCAGATCCACGACTGGCTCGCCTTCTACCGCAACCCGTGAGCCTTCTACCGCAACCCGTGAGCCTTCTACCGCAACCCGTGAGCCTTCTACCGCAACCCGTGAGCCTTCTACCGCAACCCGTGAGCCTTCTACCGCAACCCGTGAGCCTTCTACCGCAACCCGTGAGCCTTCTACCGCAACCCGTGAGCCTTCTACCGCAACCCGTGAGCCTTCTACCGCAACCCGTGAGCCTTCTACCGCAACCCGTGAGCCTTCTACCGCAACCCGTGAGCCTTCTACCGCAACCCGTGAGCCTTTCGACAGCCTTACACTCTGCAACCCATGTTCCTCGCAAGCACCTTTCTTGCCATGCCTATGCCATTCCTATTCCATGCCTATGCCATTCCTATTCCATGCCTCTGCCATTCCTATTCCATGGCTCTGCCATTCCTATCGTGATTTCTATTCCGTGCCTCTGCCATTCCTATTCCATGCCTCTGCCATTCCTATTCCGTGCCTCTGGCGTTCATTTCCACGCCTCTGCCTGTCTCCATGGCCCCACCAATCACTGTGCGGGGTGCAGGTACATGGGGTGGAAGGATGGCGTTGATGGGCTGGGCAAGTGCAAGTATCTCTTCTTTATGCCGCCCGCCTACCATGGTACGCCCCTGAAATGCCTTTGAGGCACCAAGTATTTGACTTATGGAGCAAAAAATGATTGGACAAAACAGAGATACATGAAAGGGTTTCAAGTTCCATGGCACCGCCTCTGCTCGCCATTGCATGAGCCTTGCACAGAGCATCGACACGCGCGCTTTCTCTGCCCACTGCCTGCTGAGGGTGCGTGTATGCCCGGCCGCGTCTGGGGCCTGTGGTGTGCACATTGGCAAGGCTGGGGCCTGTGGTGTGCACATTGGCAAGGCTACGCATGCGATGGGGGGGGGGGGTAGTGTGTGAGTGCGGTGGCTGGCAGGATGTGGTGCGGGGAGGAGGGGTGACGTTGAGGGGCAAGGCGGCACGTCGTGTGATGTGAAGCTTCTCAAAGCGATTCCCATGGGGCATGGGTCTAGGTGACGTGATGGAGTGGTTTTTAGGGAGAGAGTAGGCAGGCGGTAGGAGGAGGAGGGTGGAGGGGAGAAGGAGGAAGGTGGCGGATGCAAGGGTGGTTGGTGAAGTGGGTACACAGGGAATGGACGAGGGAGCGCGGTGCGGTGCAGGGGAGAAGGGTGTGAGAATGCAGGTGAGGCCCGTGCAGGGCAAGCATACCATTGCTGTGGGCGGCCATTATGCGTGCACCTCACCCCCCTCCCTCCACGTGTGTGCCCTGGTCTCCCCTGCTGCACGCCTGCAGGCATGGGCAACCGCATAATGGCGCTCATCTCGGCCTTCGCGTACGCGCTGCTGACGAACCGCACGCTCATCATCCCACCCGACTCGTTCCTCTTCCGCTTCTTCTGTGACCCCTTCCCCGGCACCTCCTGGACCATCCCGCTCGATGCTTACAAGTGAGTCGCCATGCTTGCAACCACTCTGCTCTCAGCTGCACACTCTGCTCTCAGCTGCACACTCTGCTCTCAGCTGCACACTCTGCTCTCAGCTGCACACTCTGCTCTCAGCTGCACACTCTGCTCTCAGCTGCACACTCTGCTCTCAGCTGCACACTCTGCTCTCAGCTGCACACTCTGCTCTCAGCTGCACACTCTGCTCTCAGCTGCACACTCTGCTCTCAGCTGCACACTCTGCTCTCAGCTGCACACTCTGCTCTCAGCTGCACACTCTGCTCTCAGCTGCACACTCTGCTCTCAGCTGCACACTCTGCTCTCAGCTGCACACTCTGCTCTCAGCTGCACACTCTGCTCTCAGCTGCACACTCTGCTCTCAGCTGCACACTCTGCTCTCAGCTGCACACTCTGCTCTCAGCTGCACACTCTGCTCTCAGCTGCACACTCTGCTCTCAGCTGCACACTCTGCTCTCAGCTGCACACTCTGCTCTCAGCTGCACACTCTGCTCTCAGCTGCACACTCTGCTCCTCAGCTGCACACTCTGCTCTCAGCTGCACACTCTGCTCTCAGCTGCACACTCTGCTCTCAGCTGCACACTCTGCTCTCAGCTGCACACTCTGCTCTCAGCTGCACACTCTGCTCTCAGCTGCACACTCTGCTCTCAGCTGCACACTCTGCTCATTTAGGGAGGGCTAGCCACCATCATCGAAAGCACCTGTTTTGCATGTCACTTCCACCACTGCCTTTCACAAGCCCTCCTCACATGCCCTCCTTTCTCTTTTCTCATATGCCCTCCCCACATGATGCACCTCATCCCACCTCCCCACACACACGCCTCCCCCAGCACCATATCCCAGACGGTGCACCGCTCGCTGGCGCGCAACCGAGGCCTTGTCAATGGATGGGACGGCCATGACGTCAGCATGCACATGTCATGGGAGTGAGTGACGTCAGCATGCACATGTCATGGGAGTAGATGACGTCAGCATGCATATGTCATGGGAGTGAGTGATGTCAGCATTTACATTTCACTTTCTGGTTCCAATCCAGCTTGCTTGGTTGCTGCTGTGCTGCACAAAATCACAGGAAAAGTAAAATTACAAAAATCTTTTTAAAGTTTATCGCTCGTGCGTTGAGTAGAGGTGCGCGATTCTCTTCTCTCACTCGCAAACCTGCTCCCCCCTTGTCTTTCTCTCTCTCTCCTCAACCCCCCCATCCCCCCCACCTCACATTTCTCTCGGATCTTTCCGCTCCCTCCCTCCCTTCCCACGGGCCACGGGTAGCTCCAAGGCGGACACGTGGGGCATGTTCTGTGAGGCGGAGCAGCAGGAGATGGCGACGGCGCGCTTCGCCACGCTCTACACCGACTACTTCCTTGTGCCGCACTTCTACCTCGTGCCCTCGCTGCAGGTGCACTTCTACCTCGTGCCCTCGCTGCAGGTGCACTTCTACCTCGTGCCCTCGCTGCAGGTGCACTTCTACCTCGTGCCCTCGCTGCAGGTGCACTTCTACCTCGTGCCCTCGCTGCAGGTGCACTTCTACCTCGTGCCCTCGCTGCAGGTGCACTTCTACGTCGTGCTCTCGCTGCAGGTAGTGTTGGTGCCCTCGCTGCAGGTATGTGCTGCTGGTAGGTGCTGCCCATACAGTGTTACATTGGTGCGGTGCGGTGGGTATGGAGAAAGAACCCTTGGCGTTGAGAGCAGGGCCAGTGGGGCTGGCTGGCCCGGCTCTCGAGGTTGGGGTGCAGGCTGGGGTGCAGGCTGGGGTGCAGGCTGGGGTGCAGGCTGGGGTGCAGGCTGGGGTGCAGGCTGGGGTGCAGGCTGGGGTGCAGGTTGGGGTGCAGGTTGGGGCCATCATGACCTGCTGCACACGCTAATTGCAGCGGCACTGGCCTGTGCATTTACTTGTGGGGCGCGGTCAGGCATGTGTGCATGTGCCCAGTGGCTCACACGGCCAACTCACCACTTGCCCCGTTGGCAGTGCTGCATGAGTTGTGTGCGTGGGTCCGCCACTTCCCCATGCCGCAGGAAGGAAGCTTAGGTCGTTTTGCCAAGCCACGATGAGAGGCATGCCGCGTGATGGCAGCATCTTGCCAATGCTGTTCTGTGAACAATCCTTCTTTGCATGCTCCTATCTGTGTCACCACATGTTCTCTCATCGCCCAACCTTGGCATCGCCCAACCTTGGCATCGCCCAACCTTGGCATCGCCCAACCTTGGCATCGCCCAACCTTGGCATCGCCCAACCTTGGCATCGCCCAACCTTGGCATCGCCCAACCTTGGCATCGCCCAACCTTGGCATCGCCCAACCTTGGCATCGCCCAACCTTGGCATCGCCCAACCTTGGCATCGCCCAACCTTGGCAGCGCCCAGCCTTGGCAGCGCCCAACCATATCGTCCTTACCATGCCCATTTGCTCCTTGCCCCCTCCCTCTCTACATGCCCACCCTTCTCTCCCTCTCCCTCTCACTCACTCCATTCCTCTCCCCGTCTGCTCGCCCCTGCAGGTTCAGCTCGAGTCCCTTTTTCCCGATCGACGAGTCTTCACGCACCTTTCTCGGTCAGTTGTCACCACCTTTCGATTTAAGCATCATACTCCAATCGTAACAAACCGGGTTCGATGTACGAGCCTCATGTCATCTCAACCGGGTTCGATGCAAACTTCATGTGATCTATGCCCAACTGCGAAGGTCTCCCATGGCCTGCAGCAACCCTTGTTGGTTCCACTCAAGCACCACCCTGTCCATCACCCGTGTGCCATACATGTGCCGTGCATGTGCCATGCATGTGCCGTGCGTGAGCCGTGCGTGTGCCGTGCGTGTGCCGTGCGTGTGCCGTGTGTGTGCCGTGCGTGTGCCGTGCGTGTGCCATGTGTGTGCCATGCATGTGCGGTGCAGGTACCTGCTGCACCCCGCCAACTACCTGTGGGATCGCATCACCCGCCTCTACCACGGCCACCTCGCCCTCCACTCCCTCACCGTCGGCCTGCAGGTCCGCTCACAGGGGGGGGTGAGAGGGGTTAGGGGAAGGGGGAGAGGCCGGGGAAGCAGGTGGGAGTGGGGAAGGGGAAGGGGGATCGAGTTGGGGTGGGAGACATGGTGTTGGAATGACAGGATGGGAGGTTCGTAAGAAGGGAGACGAGAAGGGGAATGGGGGGAGGGGAAAGTAGATAGGAAAGGAGGGTTGGAAGTAGGCCATGAGTATACATGTGCTCACCACATCTGTACGTGTGCATGTGTGTGTGCATGTGTGTGTGCATGTGTGTATGTGTTTGCATGTGTGTATGTGTTTGCATGTGTATGCATGTGTGCGTGTGTGCATGTGCGCATGTGTGTGCATGTGTATGCATGTGTGTGCATGTGTATGCATGTGTGTGCATGTGTGTGCACGTGTGTGCATGTGTGTGCATGTGTGCGCATGTGTGTTCATGTGTGCGCATGTGTGGGCATGTGTGTGCACGTGTGGGCATGTGTATGAATGTGTGTGCATGTGTGTGCATGTGTGTGCATGTGTGTTCATGTGTGTGCATCTGTGTGCATGTGTGTGCATGTGTGGGCATGTGTGGGCATGTGTGTGCATGTGCATGTGTGTGCATGTGTATGCATGTGTGCGTGTGTGCATGTGCGCATATGTGTGCATGTGTATGCATGTGTGTGCATGTGTATGCATGTGTGTGCATGTGTGTGCACGTGTGTGCATGTGTGTGCATGTGTATGAATGTGTGTGCATGTGTGTGCATGTTTGTTCATGTATGTGCATGTGTGTGCATGTGTGTGCATGTGTAGGCATGTGTGGGCATGTGCATGTGTATGCATGTGTGTGCATGTGTCTGCGTGTGTGTGCATGTGTGTGCATGTGTGTGCATGTGTGTGTATGTGTGTCCATGTGTGCGCATGTGTGTGTGTGCATGTGTGTGCATGTGTGTCCATGTGTGCGCATGTGTGTGTGTGCATGTGTGTGCATGTGTGTCCATGTGTGCGCATGTGTGTGTGTGCATGTGTGTGCATGTGTGTCCATGTGTGCGCATGTGTGTGTGTGCATGTGTGTGCATGTATGTGCATGTATGTCCATGTGTGTCCCATGTGTGTGCATGTGTTTCCATGTCAGATCCGGGCATTCGAGGAGACAGAGGAGGATTTGATGGTGAATGTGTTTGAGTGCGCCACCAACATCGCCAGAGTGCTGCCGCCTGTCATGCCCACCGACCAATGGCGCCACACCGCTGCCTCTGTGAGTGGCACGTGAGGAACACAGCTGCCGCCATGGTACCCGTGGTCCCTCTCGTTGCATCTCTCGCTCCCAGTCCTCTGGATGCAAGCGTGCAAGCATAATGCAGTGAATGAGCTCGATCCGATGCGCAGGCAAAAGGGCAGCCATTCACCACTCCCCATGCACCACTCCCCATGCACCACTCCCCATACACCACTCCCCATGCACCACTCCCCATGCATCACTCCCCACTAAAGTGCACCACCCCCTTTGCACCGCTTTCCACCCCCGGGCAACGTGCAGGTGACGGAGGAGGCGCTGCTGGGCGTGCGCGGGCGCAGCATCGGGGCGCTGGTGGTTTCGCTCAACCCCACCCACGGCACCAAGCTGCGCGACCGCTACATGCTGGGCAAGCCGCTGGATGGCAGCACTGTCTCCGTCTTCAGGTGCCACCCACCACCGTCTACGTTCTGTGCACTGCTCTCTAGGTTTGGTGGTACTTACTAGACAGGATGTGCTGTGCTTACTCAGGGCTTCACATGTCATTCTTGTGGTGTGCATGCATGCAAGAGTGGGTTTTCTTTCATGGCATGATGGGGCACTCAGCGGGCATGAAACGAACTCATGCCTCTCCCATGCATCATCTCCCATGCGCCATCACCCACACACCATGCACGTGGCAGTGTGAGTGGAGAGGGTCAGGAGAAGCAGGAGGACCAGCTTCAGTACGAGCTCGCCGTCACCGAGATGTGGCTCCTCGCCTTCTGGTGCAGCCCCCCGACCCCCCCTCTCCGCCATCACTTCTCCCCGTTACCACCTCACGTGCCCCATGCTTTTGAATCTCTCTTTTCACCATTTGCCTTCAGCATCGCTCACATATGTCACCCATCCGTGTCTCTTCTCAAACTTGTGCTTTCATCCCTCGCGTTACACACATATACCTCTCAACATTGATCTCTCACATGACTGATTGGTGCTTGTTCCCCCGTGCGAGCGTGCGCCCATGCGCCTGTGCGCCGCGGCGGGGCGGGCAGTGACGTGCTGCTGGTGACGGACACGTCCACGTTTGGGTACGTGGCGGCGGGGGTGGCGGGGGTGACGCCCTACACCATGAACGTCGCCAAGTGGAAGCACAGCGACTGGCGCTCCAACGGCCGCCTCGCCTGCATGCTCGGCTCCTCCGAGCCCTGCTATGTGCACCCCGTGCAGGAGCGCGTGCTGGTGAGTGCAGGAGCGCGTGCTGCTACGTGCCCTGCTATGAGCCGTGCTATGTGCACCAAGTGCAGGAGCGCATCCTCGTGAGTGGATGGGGTTGGGGAGTGCGGTTGTCACAGGTGCCCATGGGACTGTCTCGCCTCGCCTGCATGCTTGGCTCCTCTATCTAAGCCCCGCTACGTGCACCAACTGCACGAGCGCTTGCTGGTGTGGGGGGGAGCGCTTGCTGGTGAGGGGGGAAGGACACTGGGGAGTGTGGTGGTTATGTACCCGTGCAGAGGTGAACTCTTGCATAGATCATGGGGGCGTGGGGGGTTGGGGCATATGGACACGTGTCCGTGTGTGCACGCAGCACCACCAGTGTCTGCCTGTGCCCGGACCTACATGGCGCCATGCCTGTGCCCGGACCTACATGGCGCCATGCCTGTGCCCGGACCTACAAGGCGCCATGCCTGTGCCCGGACCTACATGGCGCCATGCCTGTGGCCGGACCTACATGGCGCCATGTCTGTGGCCGGACCTACATGGCGCCATGTCTGTGGCCGGACCTACATGGCGCCATGTCTGTGACTCGTGTGCACTCTGTGCCCTGAGGAGCGCGTGCAGCCTTTGCTGCTCCGGTGCTGCTCTCTGCACCGAGTTGTCTTCTAGTCTCAATGGTGAGCCCGAGCGGCCATGCCACAGGTGCTCTTTGTATGTCCTCTTCCCTTGTCTTCCACCATCGCCTTTACCCGACTTCTATCCACCACATATCTCCGCCCTCCCCAACACCATCCTGTCTCCCCCTCCCCCTCCCCCTCCCCCTCCCCCTCCCCCTGCCCCTCTCCCCGCAGTGTCCTGGAGAGGCAGAGAAGCGGCCGCTGGAGAACATACCGCAGACGCGGGCGTGCCACGCCACGGGCGTGGGGCTCACCACCAACCTGCCGCCGCTGCCGCTGCCCTCCCACCATGACGCCTTGGATGCCGCACAGCCAGCTCTACCACGTGCCTCTCATGGCCCTGTGGCTGCTGCTGCTGCTGCTGCTGCCGCTAATTCTGCTGCTGGCATGGGTGGAGGGTCAGCAACAGCAGGGTGGCGAGGGCGAGAGGGGGGAGGGCGAGGTGAGCAGCGGGGAGGGGAGCAGGGAGCAGGGAGTGCAGCGAATGGTGACTCCTATTATCTGGAGGAGGAGCACGCCTGACAGAAGGCAACTGTGGCTGTCACTCTGTGTGTGAACAAGCATTGTTGTGAACGAGCACTGTTGTGAACGAGCACTGTTGTGAACGAGCACTGTTGTGAACGAGCACTGTTGTGAACGAGCACTGTTGTGAGCGAGGATTTTTGTGAACAAGCATTGTTGTGAATGAGGATTGTGGGGAAAAAACGAGTATCAGGGGCCATTTTTGGTTTCAGAGCACCCTTAAGTATCAGGGTACCAGGGTGACAGCACCCTGACTGCCAGGATGATGTTTCCTCCACCCTGTCCACACAAGGGTAAAAACTTCTGCACACTGTTTGTGTAAGGGTGTTTTCCTGAAGTTTGCCAAATTACCCTGTTTCATGTGTTGGCGCACTAGAGTAGCCATACTATGCCTTCCATTAAGTAACAACGATTACATAGGGCCATGCCTTCACCTACAACTACAACTACATAATAGGATAAACACTACTCTAAACATTGGGGCCTTGCTCCCCCCTACTGTCTACAAACTCCAGCGCTCCAGGAATCATGCCCGAGAAGCAGGCCCCTAGATTCGTTTTGAGGTAGTCTGACGCCTCAGAGTACACCCCTCTTCCTAGTCTGGCTGTCAGAGTTACCTATTTTTTTTAGTCTGAAAATTCAAGTCTGAGGCTCAGCCTACACTACTATGACTACTCTGAAATTTCAGACAAGTCAGTTAAAAAAACTCTGAAAAATCAGACAGGGTGCATAAAAAAATTCTTTGAGTTCAGACTAGGTACAAAAAAAAAGTCTGAACGGACTCTGAATCAGACTCCAAAGTCTGATATCTAGGGCCCTGCCGAGAAGTCCCTAACGGGGCGCCGGTTCTTCTCTCCCCGGAAAACAGCGACGACATCAAACCAGTCCACCTGGTAGTTGAAGAGGGAGCAGCGCATGAGGGCACGAAGGCTAGCATCGCCAATGGTGCCCCGTCCTCACGTCTTAATTAAGGTTCTGCTTTGAGAATCCCCTCTCGCATTCAACAGTGCTGAGAGGAAGAACGGCCACTGCCTGCCACAGCATCATGATGTTGGGGAATGCACGACACCAGGTGTTGTCATCACGAAGGGTGTTGGAGGGTGCTTGGTGTAAGTCTTCATTGTGGTGCTGCGAGTGCATCGTTGACGTGAACATCCATAGCTCTGCCATTGCCTTGTTGAGATCGAATCTTGAAGGACGTGCAAACAGGCAATCCAGAACAACACTCCGGACGGATGGGATGGGACGGCGGAGAGACAAGATAAACAATCTAAGGATACATGCAGACAACATAACAAGGCGTGCTGCTGGCACCTTAACAACCACATCCCTGCAACATTGGGAATGCAAAACACACAGAAACAGAACGAGTGTTAATAAACCAGGAAGTTTCCCGTGGAAGAGTGCAGCCAGCTGCTTCAGCCACTTTTTGAATGCAGGTAGGTCTGGGACAGGAAGAGCTTGGTGCCTTCTAGATTCTGCAAATCTGCCATCCGCCCCGCTAGCTGACTGTTGATACCAGTGGCGAACTTCACAGCAAGGGCGTAGCACGCCTCCAAGTCGCCATTCGTTGTGTGGCATTCGAGTCGCCTCTCATGAAGGCGAAACACGGTTGAAGCAGGGTTCCCGTCAGCATCGACGCCATCAGCACGCATTGTGCGAGTGTCGACTGAAGCGTGCCTCTCCAAAAAGGCCGGTAGCTGCATCTTCTCTCTTTGCCCATACACGTGGCCATGTGGCACATCGATGTACCGCTGAATGATGCGCATGTGAGTTTGCACCACGAGGTGCGCAACCAGGGTCATGTCCACCTGTGGTTGAGAAGCAGAAAGGGAAACCAGCGGGGGTTTGTTAATAGCAGAGATTCATATTACACCCACCAGACACCACGGCATAGGCCAGGCACAAGCCGTTTCGGCGGTACCTCACCTGACGCACTTGAAACCTTGTGTTCAAAGGGTTGAGCTTGCTTAGGATGTCCGCGAGAAATCAAAGAAGGAACTGAAAGTTGAAGGAGGTTTGCGAAGATAACTACTACAACGGGAGCTAGACTACGAGCTAGGCACGGGTGCTCGTGTGATCTCTGCGTTCTTTGGTCCTTAGTCGTTTTCCTAGTGCATACACAGCTTGCTAGTTCACGGGGAGAATTGGCAAGAGTTTCACTAGAGAAGGTTGACAACAATGGTACAATGAAGTTGGCATGGCAAGACTACATCAGAGCTAGCATTCAGGTCGGTCGACTGCCAGCGCAGCATGGTCGACCGCGTTCCAGCACGACTTGATCGACCGCGCTCCAGCAGTGCAAAGTCGACGGCGTGCCAGCGTTGCTCACGCAGAACAGCAGCGCACCTGCTTTGCAGGTGCTCGCAGATGATTGGTGGGCTGAGCCTCGTCACCTGCACAACGCACACACCAAGTCACCCCATGCTGACGACTCCACCTGATCCGCCATGTCGACTTCGGGATACCACCACCGAGGTCGGACTCCCCGACTTCGCCTGGGCGACCGTCGCACTCCTCCGCAGAACCTCGTCACCCAGGTAACCTGGTCGACCGGGCAACCACGTCGACCAGCTGCTCCTGTATGTGCCCGTCGACCTCCCAAGTCGACGGCCACCCCAAGTCGACCTCACCAGGTCGACCAAGCCCCTGGTCGACTAGCTCCAGGTCGACGTCACTTCTGGTCGACCAGCTCCATGTCGACCAGCGCAGTTGTCAGCCGACCCCCAAGTCGGCTACCTGGAGTCGGCGTCACCAAGTTGACGCCCAGCTGCTCGACGCCCAACTGCTTGGCGTCCTGAGTCGAGGTCGACGTCAGCCCCTCCTTCGTCGACCACCAGGTCAGGTCGACCACCAGCAGGTCGACCAGCAGTCCGTCAGCCGACTACCCAAGTCGGCTGCTCCAAGTTGACGGCATCAAGTTGACGTCCTCCGTAGGTCGACTTCCGAGGTCGACCTCCCAGATGTCGGCGCCACCTTGAAGTCGGCGCCCGTACAGTGGTCTCCGTGCAGGTCGACCTCCTTGTCAACCTGCTCGCCCACTGCTGCAGGTCGGCTGCTCCCCTCACATCCGACCATGAAGTCGGCTCCGCCCAAGCGAGGACGGGGCCAACACACAACTCCCGTTGACACTCCCTTGCCGTGTTCACGCTTGGGCCCCCCAGCCCACACGGCAATACTCCTCGGAGAATAGCTCGTCGACGTGCACCCAACTCACAGCACGTCGTCCACCGCACCAGCCATGCAAGAGGGCATGGCACCTAGTGCTGCACGTCGTCAACTTCGTCGCCCACGTCGGCCAAGCGCACCTGGCCGATGGCGACGGAGCACCGGTTGAAGGCCGGATAGTGCAGCGCCTTCGTCAGGAAGTCGGCCGGCTGCTCAGCGGTCGGGATGTACTTCAGTGAAAACTTCCCGCGCTTCACCATGTGCTGCAGCCAGGCCTGTCGCCGCTCCATATGCTTGAGGTTGCCCGTCAACCCCATACCCTCGGCGACTGTGATGGCCGACTTGTTGTCCACCCGGAGGACGGTCGGCTTCCCGGCATCCAGCTGCCGGAACTCGGCGAGGAGGAAGCGAAGCCGACGTCCCTCCTTGCCGGCTTCGGTGACCGCCACGTACTCCGACTCGGTCGACGACAGCGTCGCGCACTTGATTCGCTGGCTTGACCAGGAGACTGCGGCCCCTCCGTAGACGAACACGTAGCCGCCAGTGCTCGTCCTGTTCTGCTTGTTACCGGCGTCGTCGGCATCCACGTAGCCGACCAGCTCCAGCGACTCAGGTCCACCGCCGAACTCCAGGGCGTTGTCATATGTGTTGGCGAGG